CACCTGTAGCCTATTCTCCACACAGCATCCAGAAGGATGCTGCTGAAACATAAGATGCTGTTAAAAAGTAAGCCCCTCCTTTGCTCAAAACATTCTGATAGCTCCTCATCTGACTCAGGGTAAAAGCCGAAGTCTTTACCAAGCTCTATATGATCAGACCCCTTACCTCTCTCATTTCATACCTCACACACACACACACACACCCCCATACATACATACACACATGAATTCAAACACTCATACAGCTTCAGCCACACTGGTCCCCTTCCTGTCCCTTGATCTTGTTAGTACTCTCTCATCTCAGGGCCTTTACGTCGACCGTCCCCTCGGCCTGGAACTCTCCCTCTGATACCCCCGATAACTTCTTCACGTCCTTTAGGTCTTTGCTCAATGTCACCTTCCCAGTGTTAAAAGTAACAAGAAGTCAGTCAGATCCTTACATCTGTCATACATATACAATGAGGGGAGGGCTTGGGTGAAAAATAAATGAGAGGAAGTGCTGTGACATTGGCCTCTTGCCAGGAGCTAACTGCCTTGGCAGCAACAGAAAGGGAAAGTCACCTGGGTGGCAATCAGATGGGCTGCATCTCCCCTTATGGGGTGCCCTCTGCTTCTGCCCTGGGGCAGGTGAGGCGCAGGCTTGTTAGCGAACCTTCAGAGAGTGCTTGCTTGAGAAGATGCTGTATGGGGACATTTGCTTTCAATCCTTGGGGGCAACTTCTAAGACTGAAGTCCCTCCTAGTGCCAAGCACTTACAGGCAGGCCCAAGAAATGTAACGAGTAAAATGCGTCTTGATTTTCTGATCGATTTTGAACACACTTATTTGTTTTACAAGAAAGCAAAATATTACCATTTCACATATCGTGATACTTCCATTTACAAGAGAACACAGGTTTTCCTGATAACTTATTTAACAGCATCAACCCCCAGAACACGACTAAGAACTAGAAAAAAAGGGAAAGCTTTTATGCCATCGGAATAGATAGCAGAGCCCATGTACTAAAGCTCACCTACATTAGGAGAAGCAGACTCCCCACAGCCCTCCTCACAGGCTATTTACTCATATTTGACCGAAAATTCAGACAAGTTCGTTTATCTCATTTCCTAGCTCATAACAACACATCAGAAGGAGCAACGGAGGAGAGGACACGTCGAGGGCTGGGCAGTAACCGCAGGTCGGCAGAAACAGTTAAAATAACGGCAGCGAGAAATGACAGCTCACAGACAGGGGATATATGGAAAGATTAGAAAAACAGGCATTACAAATTGAGCGGCAGAACAATCTGTGCCCAGCTGAATGTAGGGACAAACAGTTGTCCACAGTTAGGAGCCCTTGAGGCAACACTATATACAGCACATTAAAATAACTCATGCTATTATAAGGATAATCTCGAGTCATCAAGAAAGGATGCAATTTCTTACATTTATTTCCAGGTTCAGAAATCAGGAAAGTACAAAATCTTTCTGAAAAGCTTTCCATCCAAAATGGTTAGAGATTGGGGGGGGGGGGGTCAAGCACCAAAAGAGCCGAACCTCAGTTACCCCAAAAACTCAGTGATGTGGAACGCCAAGTCCCGTGTTGCCTGGGAAATGACCCATCACCAGGGGAACACGTTTATACCAGGCTGCAACATATATTGAGTAATTAACTTTGGTGGGGATTTACACGTCTTCTTGGGGTAAACTCTGACAAAACAAAATTTGCAGTGAACAGGTTTTCACAACTACTTGTCTGAGTTATCTGAGGTTACCTTAGATCAGTATAGCTTGCATTCTTTCGTCCTGCAAGGAATGCAAAACATTTCTTTCTTTTTTCCTTCTTCTTTTTCCCCCATTATCAGGTATGGAAAATGTGAAAGGAGAAAAAAAACCTTTATATACGGCAAAGTCCAAAAGATAGTTTTATAATAAATCTGGGCTACTTCCATGCTAGACTTTCTGAGTTATCAAGATAACCCAGATAAGTGGATTTAAGGAAAGAACTTCAGTGCTAAGAGTTGTTTAATGGACTCCACAGATGACAGTAAGAAATAAGACTTGCTTCTTCTCAGCTCCAGGCCTACTGGTCAGCTCTCTTGGAATGTTCCACAGAAACCACATACCCAAAATTGAACCCCAAATTTGCTCTCCTCCTCCATTCCCTGTCTTAATGATCTCTCTCCCCACCCAGTCACCCTAACCAGAAGCCTAGAATTAACCTCGTCTCCTTCCCTGTCCCTCAAACCTCACACTAGTCACCAAGTCAAGTCAATTCTACCCTCTCAGGTCCTCAAGCTTCTCCTCTTCTCCCCATTCCCAGAAGTGGCTTAGTACGTGCCTTCATCCACTCCTGCCCAGCTATCTACAACTGCTTTCTAACTAGCCGCCCTACTTCCAGTCTTCTTCCTCTGTGCTGCATACTCCACACAGTCTCCTCCACTCAACCGCCAGAGTGGTATTTGTAAAATCAAGAAGTCCCACTATGCATTGCCTCTGTTGACTACTGCGCACATTGTGCACTATACAACCCTAGCAGGGGCATCATTCATGGTATCATTTGTGCGAACGGAGCCCCTCAGGGTTTTGCAGTGCACAGTCTATACAACCACATGCAGCAGCCTTGGTCTATTCCCCTGCTTAGAACACTCCAATAGCTCCCCACTGCCCTACAAATAAAGCAAAGCCCTTTAATACGCCTCACAAGGCTTTGCCTGATCCAGCCCCTGCCTGCTTCTCCAAGTTTATCTTTCTCCTGTATTTTCCACACTTTACACTCCAATCATTTAAAAAAACACACTTCCTCAAACCTACTATGCTGTTCCCTTTCTGCTTGTTTTTGTACCTCTTACTTCCTTTGCCTAGAGACAGCCCTCTCCCTACCTATCCCCACCACAATCCATCCCCATCCGCAGTCCACCTGGAAATGTGTATGCATCCCTGAAGATTCACTTCATGCCTCCTGCTCCCCCTAAAGTCTCCCCTAAGTAGAGTCAGTCATTCCCTCTTGTGGCTGCCCCACAGCAGATGCTGCACAAGCCTGTGTAACAAGCTCTCACACTGCAGCGTGTCCCTGGGAGTGAGCGGGCTCTAAACGGTCATTACTAAAATGATCTTTCAGAAAGTTTTGTAAACATGTGAACATGAAACATGAACAGCTTTGTAAACATGTGCTTTAAATATATGAATATTTTAAAATATATGAAATCCTTTTCACATGTAAAATTAATGTACTATGGTGTGTGTTCTAACAGCATAGGTACAAACCACTTCCAGGACACTCTGTCGGTCCATAGCAAGGGAGACGTTACTGTTAAAAATACTGAAAGGCAGAAAAGTACCACAAGCCCATGTAAACACACAGCGCAGCAACTGGTGTCATTTAGATACTGTGATTGCTGTAATGCCGAGGCGACACAGGCGTGACAACACGCAGGAGCCTTCAGAGGTACAGAAAGACAAAACATCAGACAACTATAGAAACAAGAGAAATCACTGGCTGTAGAAATGTTGACTTATATTTCATGGCATAGCTAACAATTTTTGTGATAAAGCATACATTTCTCCTACGGAGATTTTTTTTAACTTTCAGGAAGATGCAGAGGGTAAATGAGCACTAGATACAAACTACTTTCCACTGAGTTTCAATGAGATTCTTTTGTAGCATCCAAAAACCATTTCAATCACTGAAGGCCTGAAGGAGCTTGCGCTCCATCACCGCACTCCCCTTAATGATTTATCACCTATGGGAAATAATACTGACCACCTCAAAAGCAAAGCAAGCAAGACCAACGAATTCTGCACGATGAAAATGCATAGACCGCAGCCTTGGCTTACTCATTCTGGTCTAACTAAAGGGGTTTGCATGGCTTCCTTTGGATTTGTGGACAGCCCTGAATAAGGAGGGATATTTGGAATGTGTGTTGTGGCTACCTGATTTGCGGAAAAGTGCCACCAAGACTACTTTCTTGACGCCAAATTCCCTTTTTTCAAGGCTTAACACCTGCTAAACCAAAACTACACCGGGAGCAGAGGAAGAGAAGCCCATCAATCGGAGAACCTCGCAGACCTGTCTGAAAAGCCCTGGCTGAACTTAAGGTCCCAGAGCTGCACCCTGTTCTCAGGGTTGCTCCTGCGCCCCAGTCTGCACGGTCTCACAGGAAGCTATCTCCTTGGAGCCCCAGAGTCTGCTGCATCTTCCCAGCTGTACCAACCCCAAAGCTCGGCATCTCCAGCTAGGGAAACGAGTGTGCATCACGGCTGGCAAGTGACCAAGCCCACGTTATACCCTTCACACCACCTTCCCAAATCGCGACAGCAGAAATAAAGGTTTTGAGAGTTTGTTGGCTTTTTTTGCTTGTTTGTCCTGTCCGTCAAACAAAAACTTCTGCCTTTGTAGTGAGTGCCTCCAACTTGTAGGGAGGCAGGAAGCTCATGGACCAAGCTAGAAAGATGCACTAGTCTGGGTGGAAGCCCAAGTCGGCGGCGGCACCGTTTCTACAACTCCTCCTCCAACTGCGCTGCGGCCGGCCTCAGAATCCGAGTCTCTTTTTGGACTCGGTTTCCCCAACACGTGTTACTCAAAAGCCCCCTAGCTTTTCCAGCATCCAGGGACTATTACAGTGGAAGTGCACCCTCGGGGAGGCTGGCCTCTGGTCTGTGGGATGCGGAGTTGGAAGAAATCATCTATCCCCACCTCTCTGATGACACAGAGAAGCGGGTGAGGAGTGGAGCGGGGACCGAACCGCTAGCAGCGGAGACCTCCCCCCGCGCCTCCGGGACTTTCTCATGGGGCGCACGCCCGCAGCGCGGCAGCCAGCAGAGGAACAACGGCCCGCCGCGCCGGAGTGCTCGCGCTGGCAGCCCGCTGCGGTGGGGCAGCGGGTGCGGGTGCGAGGCGTGAGGGAAGACAAAGTGTGCCCGCGGGCCCAGGCGGCTGGGGAGGGAGCGGGTGAGGAGAGGAGAGCGCGAAGCAGGCGGGAGCAGGAGGCCGCCGGGCGGCGTCCGCGGGGAGGAACCTTACCTGCGACGAAGACCGCTTGCAGGAGGCAGAGGTAGCTCTTGCCGTACTTCTCGGAAATCCTCACGCGCTGCAGGGCCATGGCCATGTCCACCTGCAGAGGGATAGCATGGGCGATCGGCACGAACGAGCAGCCGTCCTGGTCCTGGGGCAGGCCCGGGGTTCGGCCGCACGGCACGGGGGTCTGCGGCGCCGAGGCCTGGGGCACGTGCCGGGCCGCCAGCGTGGGCGAGCCCGGGGGGCGCCGGGAGCCTGCCGCCGCCATCCGCACGCGGGAGTCGGGGCCGCGACCACCACCCCGGCGCCGCCGCCGAACTCCGCCCCGCGCCCGCCCCTGCGCGCCCCGGCACCGCCGGAGGGGTGCTGCCGCCGGCCCCGCTCGCTCGGCCGGCTGCGCCGCCGCCGGGGCCCGCTCACCCGCCCGCGCCCCTCGTGGGAACAGAGGCGCACAGGCCGGAGAGCGGGGCACGCCCGGAGCCGGCGAACTTGCTCGGAGTTTGGGGCCCCGGTGGAGTGCTTCTGGCCGCAGCAGCCGCGAGGACAAGTCCTCCAGGGAGCGCACACACGCCCCCGCTTAGCTTCCTGGAGGATGGGAGGAGGCGGGGGATGTGGAGGAGGGACTCAAGTAGCCCAAAGGGAGAACCCCTGCGGGGACGCCCATTGTCAGGAGAGGGAAGGCCGGGCTAGAGGAGCACACGTGGTGGGAGGAGACGGCCCGGCCTCGCACTCCCATGGCAACTCTTGTAAGTCTTGGCGGTTCCTTAGCATCCCGGCCCGCAATGGCCAAGGCAAAGATTCGCTGCGCGGGGGGATTGCTCAGTGCGGGCACATGCAGGTGGCCCTGCCAGGACTGCTGTCCTTGCCAGCGCCAAGAGGAGACTAGCCTTGGAGAGGCTGAAAGGGTATGTGCTGAAGCCGGAATATGCCCTCCCCACCCCCAACTCAAACACACTCTCTCTCCCTCTCTGTCCCTCCACCCCCATCTCTTGGGGGATGCTAAGCCCCAGGCCGTCCAGATCCCTGATTCTCAAACACCGAGGTCCTAGGCAGCCGCCTGTATAGACACCTGGGCTGCCATCCCTCTGGGGCTTGGGAATCTTGCCACGTCTTAGAGAAGGCACAGAATATAGAGGGCACAAGAAAACAAAAAGGCATGAGGAGGCGACCCCTTAAAGACTACAAGTGGGAAACGAAAGGAGCTGGAGCTCTTTCCTTTCCATAAATCCCCCAGGGATGGGTCCCTGAAAAGATGGGGCTCTGAAGACGCCAGGAGATGTCAGCATAAAAACTGCAGTCTGAAAGCAAGTCAGCGCCATTGGGATTCACCCCAATTTTGCTCCAGTACTAGAAGTCTTTATGCGAATTGCAAGTGCTACTTCTTTCTTTAATCCTTATCCTTTTCAAAATTGTTTGTCAGCAGAGTGGTCCGATGGTATGAAGGCCGGTCATTCCAAGTGGATCTTTTAAACATTCTGTGGGGAATCACTGATTCCCACCTGAGGAGAATGGGTGCAGGCAGCTACAAAAGGCAAGAGCGAGTAGGGGAGGAAACCACACACACACACACACACACACACACACACACACTCCTCTTCCTCTAGCCAGTTTAAGCTCTGTCTGGATGTGTCCAGTCAACAGGCAGAATGTTTGCTAGCCCCTCTTGAATATGTGCAGAGGGGAGAGGAGCAACTGCTTATAATTGTCCCCTCTGTTGTGAACAAGATGACATTAAGAATTCCACCCATGCTAGGGCTGGCCCCATGGCCGAGTGGTTAAGTTCGCGCGCTCCGCTGCAGGCGGCCCAGTGTTTCATTAGTTCGAATCCTGGGCGCCGACATGGCACAGCTCATCAGACCACGCTGAGGCAGCGTCCCACATGCCACAACTAGAAGAACCCACAACGAAGAATACACAACTATGTACTGGGGGGCTTTGGGGAGAAAAAGGAAAAAATAAAATCTTTAAAAAAAAAAAAAAAGAATTCCACCCATGCTAAGGTTACTGTTCTTTTACAAAAACTTTCTTTTATTTTAACAACTTTATTTTAAGTTAAAAATAAATAAGAATAGCAGTCATAAATAAAAGTGCTAGATGACTATATAGGAGGATATTTTTATAATCATGGGCTTTACTTAGCACAATTTTAAAAAGGTATGAGATTAATCCACATATGGAAAGATGCCTTGCTGTATTGTCAAGTGAAAAAGAGTAAAATGCAAAAAAATATTTATAGTTTGATTCTCCTTTTAAGCACTATACATTATGTCTATGCCTAGAAGATGGTTCGGAAGGGTACAAACTGCTAATAGTGATGATCTCTGGAGAGTGAAACTGGAGATCACTTGGCGATGGGGGAGCTCTCATTTTTTCTGTTTATTAGTAATTACGTTAAATTTTTACGAGTAATTGGTTTTTCGTAACTATTTTTATTTATTTATTTTTTTTTGAGGAAGACCAGCCATGAGCTAACATCTGCTGCCAATCCTCCTCTTTTTGCTGAGGAAGACTGGCCCTGAGGTAACATCCATGCCCATCTTCCTCTACTTTATATGTGGACGCCTGCCACAGCATGCTTGACAAGCGGTGCCATGTCTGCACCTGGGATCTGAACCGGCAAACCCTGGGCCACCGAAGTGGAACGTGCGCACTTAAACTCTGCGCCACCAACCGTCCTCTGTAACTCTTTTTAAATAAAGAAAGAAATAGAAAAAATAAGTTTAGGTTCAGAAAGCTATTCGAAAATTAACAATGAAAAAGAATTCTCTAAATAAAAAAGCAGTAGAAAATCAAAAAGGAAAAGATCAATAAATTGACATAAAATTTTAAAACTTCTGTATAAACAAAGTCAAACCACAAATGGGAAGTTATTTGCAAAGAAATACAGTGATCAAAAACTAATATCCTTCAAGGGACCCAGAATAGCCAAAACAATCTTGAAAAAAAGTTGGAGAACTCATACTTCCCAATATCAAAACTTGCTGGAAAGCTGCAACAATCAAAACAATGTGATATTGACATAAGAATAGACTTACATGGGGGCTGGCCCCGTGGCTGAGTGGTTAAGTTCCTGCACTCCGCTGCAGGCGGCCCAGGGTTTCGTTGGTTTGAATCCTGGGCGCGGAAACGGCACTGCTCATCAAACCACGCTGAGGTGGCGTCCCATATGCCACAACTAGAAGGACCCACCATGAAGAACATATAACTATGTACTGGGGGGCTTTGGGGAGAAAAAGGAAAAAATAAAATCTTTAAAAAAAATTTAAAAAATAAGAATAAACTTACATGGGCCAGCCCTATGGCTGAGTGGTTAAGTTTGCACACTCCGCTTTAGTGGCCCAGGGTTTCACTGGTTTAGATCCTGGGTGCAGACATGGCACTGCTCATCAGGCCATGCTGAGGTGGTGTCCCACATGGCACAACCAGAAGGACCTACAGCTAAAATATACAACTATGTACTGACTGGGGAGCTTTGGGGAGAAGGAAAAAAAAAAAGAATAGACTTATAGATCAATGGAATATAATTGAAAGTCCAGAAACAAACCCTTACATCTAGAGTCAATTATCTTTTGACCAGAGTGCCAAGATAATTCAATGGAGAAAGTATATTCTTTTCAACAAATGGTACTGGGCCAACTGGATATCCATATGCAAAAAAATGTAATTGGATCTCACATCATATACAAAAATTATTCAAAGTAGATCAATGACCGAAATGTAAGAGTTAAAATTATAAAACCATTAGAAGAAAACAGAGGCATAAATCTTCATGATCGTGAATTAGGCAATGGTTTCTTAGATATAACACCAAATGCACAGGCAACAAAAGAAAAACTAAATAAACTGGATATCATAAAAAATTTTTTTTAATTATGCTTTAAAGGACACTATCAGGAAAATGAAAAGATAACTCACAGAATGGGAGAAAATGTTTGGAAATCATATATCTGACAAGAGTCTAGTGTCCAGAATATATACAGAACTCTTACAATGCTAAGATAAGAAGACAAACCAGGGGCCAGCCCGATGGCACAGCAGTTAAGTGCGCATGTTCCACTTCGGCAGCCCAGGGTTCACTGGTTCAGATCCTGGGTGAGCACATGGCACCGCTTGGCAAGCCATGCTGTGGTAGGTGTCCCACATAGAAAGTAGAGGAAGATGGGCATGGATGTTAGCTCAGGGCTAATCTTACTCAAAAGAAAAAAAAGACAAACCAAAAATGTGCAAAGTATTTGAATAGACATTTCTCCAAAGAAGATGTACAAATGGTCAAGAAGTACATGGAAAGATGAGCAACATCGTTAGCCATCAGGTAAATGCAAGTCAAAACCACAACGTGACACCTCTTCACATCCACTAAGATGGTTATAATTAAAGACAGACAATAACAAGAATTGGCAAGAATGTAGAGAAAATGGAACCCTCACTGATTGTTGACAGGAGTATAAAATATTGCAGTGGAAAATAGCTTGGCAGTTCCTCAAAAATAGAGTTACCACATGGGGGGTGGCCCCACGGTGTAGTGGTTACATCCACTGCTCTCCACTTTGGCGGCCCATGTTTGCAGGTTGGGATCCCGGGCGTGGACCTACACCATTCATCAGCCATGCTGTGGTGGTGACCCACATACAAAAGAGAGGAAGATTTGCACAGATGTTAACTCAGGACTAATATTCCTCAAGCAACAAGAGGAAGATTGGCAACAGCTGTTAGCACAAAGCCAATCTTCCTCACCAAAAATAAAAAAGAGAGAGAGAGGGTTACCACATAAACCCAGCAATTCCACTCCCAGGTATCTAACCAAAAGGAATGAAAATGTGTCAACACAGAGATTTGTACATGAATGTTCATAGCAGCATTATTCATAATAGCCAAAAGATTGAAACAACTTAAATGTCCATCAGTGGATGAATAGATAAACGAAATGTGGTGTATCCATACAATGGAATATTGTTTGGCTTTAAAAAGGAATGAAATTCTGATACATGCTGCAACATGGATGAACCTTGAAAACAACATGCTTCAGTGAAAGAAGCCAGTCACAAAAGACCACATATTTTATGATCCCATTTATATGAAATGTCCAGTATAGGCAAATACATAGAGACAGAAAGTAGAATAGTGGTTGCCAGGGAATGGGGAGGATGGAGGGATTGGGGGTAACAGCTAAGGGGATTAGAGTTCCTTTTTAGGGTGATAAAATGTTCTAAAGTTGATTGTGCTAATGGATGCTCAACTCTGTGAATATCCTAAAAGTCATTGAATTGTATAGTTGAAATGGGTAGAAT